ATAATGGTAATAGAAATATAGGAAGAAAAAAAGTTAATTGTCATGAAGATATGACAGTACGTTAAAAAACTTTTTTTGTAATTATTATTAATTTTAGATCTTTAAAATGGTCCTAATTTATGACAATGCAATATATTTTAAAATATAATTAATTTCTGTGATGGAAAAGCTAGGCATTATTCAGTGTTTATTACTCCAGTCTTCAGTGTCACATGATCCTTCAGAAATCATTCTAATATGCTGATTTGCTGCTCAAGAAACTTTCTTTTTATTATCAATGTTGAAAAGAGTTGTAATAGTGTTATGGAAACATTGGTTTTTGTGGGAGATTAATTAAATTTACTAAAATAGTACCATAATATTAAAATATTTTACACTATATATATATAATATATCACTATTTTTTGCATTACAGTAATGTTGTCAGATTACCACAGAAAGTAAGTTTTTGTAAAACAAAACCAAATCTATTTGCAATAAGACCAACTGAAGCAAGAAAGGAGGCCTGGTGGGTTTAATCCACATGAATCTACTTGTCTGTTGACATTTTGAAAGAACTCCAAAGCAGTTTTAACATTGTTCAGGCACTATGTCCAGTCATTTGCCACATATAGATGCTGATGTTACTTTGGTTGCGTCTGTTTCTCTTTGTCTTCTTTAAAAGGCACACTTTGAGGTTTTGGAACGCAGCATTTTTCGATGCCGTCCACTGTGAGAGAAATAAAAGATCCCCCACCACGAGGTGAGAGATTGCAGGGTTTTTCACAGTATACTCTGTAATTCTTATGACTTTTTATAGAGCGCTTCTTTTCTCTTTCTCCTGATATATCGTGCTATTAAACAAAACAGACTTCGCACGGCACCTAATGCACATGTTAGATTGCGTGTTTGTTTAGACTGCGTGTTTGTTTGTGTGTCTGTTAAAGCCAGAGGGAGAGATCGAGAGTTTACTTTGTGTTTGATAGATTGTTAGTGATCTTGAAATAAACTACCCAGAAGTTTCAGCCGAGGTGCGTGACTGTGTGTCCGGTGCATATGACAGTCTTACTGTGTATTTGCAGTCTGGATGAGTCCTGCAGCCTTTCTCTGTGCTCTTATGGTTATTCTTCCACACTGCTCCTCTGCTCATCATCCTCTCTTTCCTTTCTTTCTCTCTGTGGCTCTTTCTCTCTCTCTCTGCATGTGACTTTAACCCTTTATCTCCCTGTGCCTCGCTGCCTCACACAGGCGGACGGCTGAGGAAGAGAAAGATGAAAGGTCTGTCCTTCATTCCGTCTGCTGCCCTGGACATTGCCAGATAGAGACAGGAAAGGCAAAGAAAAGGAGGATTAAAATGGAGAGGGGAAAGTTAGATCGGTTATCCAGCACAGGATAAATTTAGGGGAAAGTGAAGGGAGTTTAGGAAAAAGATGAAACGCAGACAGAATTAGGCTACCGTTTACTCACACTCTGCACAGAAAACTTGGAAATATCAGGGAATTTTTGTGATTTCCAGACTTGAAAAATAATTAAAATGAATAAGAAATATACAAATAAAATCTCAAAATATACACTCTGCAAATTTTTAAATGTCTCTTATACTCACTCAGGCTGCATTTATTTGATCGAAAAAACTGTAAAAACAGTAATTTGTGAAATATTATTACAATTTAAAATAACTTTTTTTCTGTAATAAAATGTAATGTATTCCTGTGATGGTAAAGCTTTATTTTCAACAGTCATTATTAATTATTCTTAATTCTTATTATCAATGAAAATGATTTTGCTGCTTAAAATTTTAGTGAAAACCTTGATATATTATTTTCAGGATTCTTTGATAAATAGAAAAAAAGTTCAGAAGTATGCTTATATATTTATATAAGTATATATTAAAAATTAATTTTTGTTTTTTTGTTTTACAGCCACTTTTGTTCAATTTAATGTCTTTGTTGCTTTTTTA